TTTTTCCCCCCAAGGAAAGTTCTTCAGAACTGTTTAGAAGCAGATGGCACCTGTGTCTTTTTTTTAAATTAGTAGTCATTTTTACCTTTGCCACGGTATTTAAATATGATAACATAGTCTGCTCTTCAAGTACTAGTTCTATCACAGTCTTCACTTGATGTTGAGGCTCTTTACAATGAGTGTATTTCCAAATTTAGCAGTGAATAACATGTATCAACTTGAGTTGTTAGCATAGCTGAGAGGCATTTCATGCCTTTAAGTTCAAGTTGATTTAACTCCTAATTCTGGCATGCCTGTGGTAAAACGATAGTAAAGGTGAATCCCTTTCATTTCAGAGATACAAAGCACTCTGCCAACACAAAGGCAGCATTATTTTCAACACCTGCAAGCTCAGAGGTAGCAGTTACCGATACTCCCACTGTGAAGAAAGGAAACTAGCTGCTGAACAAGGCTGGGGTCAGGGCTCCACAAGTTTTGGGGACGGAATGAACAGGTCACAGGATTTCCCTTTCCCTGGGGTCCCTGGGACTGAGATGTCCCATCAGGACCAACAGAGACCACACGTCTCTGTTGAGGAGGGGAGGAAGAGGAAGGGAGCAAGCCTACCGTGCCTGGTCCATTTAGTTATCATTCATTCACTCTCCAAATCATTTGTTGAGCACCTGCTGAGTACAACGCTGTGCTAGGAGAGGGGCACGCCACAGTGAACGAGCCAAATCCACAGACGGCCTTCCAGTCCGCCTCCAGTTGGTGTTCCTGCAAAGAGCCAGTGCAGCCCCAGTTTCCAGTCTCCCACATGCAGTCCCACCTTGCTCCTGAGTCAACAGCCTAAGAAAAGAACTGAGTGCACAACAAAGAAGAGCAGGACTGAACATTTATATTTTTAATTCCCAGTGAGACAAAGAGAAAAGCATACCACGCCCCAAAGTGCTTAGATATTAAATGCGGTGTGGGCGGCAGGAGACCCGTACCCGGGATAGCCTGTGAGGCCCTAGAAGACAGTGCTGGGGGGACAACCAAGGGCATGAGGAGGCCCAGCTGAGAGAAAAAGGAAAGGGAAAAGAGAGGCTGATTCTTCCCCAGCCAGGAGCACTGGTTGGAGCCCTTCTGTTAGCAAATGCACACTTTTCATGTTTCCTTACAGGAAGCATTTCCTGGCCATTTCCGAGGGCCAGAGTTGTGTGTCACCAGGTGGAACACAACACTGCTCAGGCTCCTGAGTTCCCCCCTCTGCAGTGGACGTGCCCTGGCCTGGCCCCTGCCCCTCAGCCCCTCCAGAGTGCAATGCACCCAGCAGATCTTGGGGAGACAGCAGGGTTTTCGGAAAAAAATGTTTGAAAGAAGAAACCTAAGAATAAGTTGGAGACAAAGCTAGGAGAACTTTTCTCTACAAAGCTGTGGAAATGGAGACACCATGTCACTAGCTGATCGGCAGGACATTTTTCCAAAGGACTCTGCCCTGGGCTTTACTGTGGCATACGCTGACTAGAGGCCTAAAACAGCACTTTTCAAATTGAGCCACCACCCATGAGTGGGATGTGAAATCACAAGGATTTGACTGATATTTTTTTAATGAAACAGAGTAAAATCATGCAGCATAAAATAGGAAATATTAGAGTACATTGTTGGTAACAATAACGTCATTTTATGAAACTTGTTTCCATTTGATACACACCTATGTCTCACTATCTAAATCTTTTTGGTTCCTAAGAAATAATATACATAGCAAGGGATCCTACACGATTATGCTTCACTTGGGTTGCCATAAATGTATTTGTTTTAATTGCAGATCAGGTTGTGGAGAGGCAAGGATTTAAAGTCACTAGCCTAAAGAAACTATAGTTAAGTGGAATGGAAATTTTTTTAAACATTGATTCCATAGCAATTTAACACTTCTTTTGGTCTAATTATATTTTTTATTTGGTTTCCTTGAACGTGTGTGTGTGTGTATGTAAATACACCTAGTTTTATTACAAATATTTTTTCAATTTCTCATGACAGACAAGAACAAAAGGCAGGAAAGAACTGCAAACAAGACACGGGTTTGGGTGCAGAGAGCCAAGAACCCATCACAGAGCAGGGCAGTCTCCACTCTGCCTCCTCCTGCCAGACCACGGCCAGAGTCCGGACCAGATGAGGCTCCCTTCTCCCTTGGCAAAGCCATGAAAACGCCAATTTCTCAAATCACTGGGCAAAGGACCAATGGCTCTCTAGGATATGGAGCCCCAGATAGGATCATGGCCAGCTCATATTTTTAAGTAGAATTGAATTTGTTGATGTATCGTAATTTTTGTAGACATTCTGACAAACTCTATAAATGAAGCAGTATTTCAAATTTTCAAATATCAGTTTTGATCAACTTAATCAGTTGGCCTAATACTCTGAAATAATCCTCTTCACTCCCACCCTCACCCCTCTTCCAATTCTGAAAAGAAAAAAGAAAAAGCTATCCTATGGGCCCTGGTCTACATGGCTACTTGGAGACCACTGCTGCCATCACCAGCCAGGGGCTTCAAGTGGTTAAAGCCTTGCAAATGTAGCTCCCTAAAATTTCCAAACACATCCTCGGGTGTGTTGCCCTAATGGTTACATGGCCAGTCATGAATTCTGGAGTCACTTAGCTTACAACCAGATAATTACAACAGAAGAAGGACTACTCCCAAATTCACTTAATCTAGGGGGGGTTGTCCACACCCTGGAACCAACCACACTGACACCACACAACGTCTGGGGCATTGTTCTCTTAGCAACTTAATGATGACTGTGTTACTAATGAATTAAACGTTTCAGCGTTAGAGTCAGGCAGGCTTGGCCCCAGACCGAGAAGAGTCAAGAGTTGGAACCAGTTGTTTAGACTTTATCACCAGCGTAGGAAGGGGGCTTTTGTCACTCGGTCAGTACCGACGATTATAATCGTGTTGCATCCTCTGGCTTTATAGATTCTTAGTAATTATATCCATAATGCTAGTTACTTGGGGGGTTGTTTTGGGGGGTTGACAAAAATTACTTTGATTGTGAAGTGATAGTATTTCCCAAAGTCTCAACCCAACGGAGGACGCATGCGCCTCACCAGCACTGCCGTCCACGGAGAACCCCTGATACATACGCACACGTGGCTGCTGGACAACAGCAAAACTACGAGTTCTCAGTTTTCCTAAAAGTATTTTAACTATGTGACTGTCAAGGTATTCAAACAACTAGGCAGCAGAGTGAGAGTCTTAGCAACATATAATTGACTTACTGTGGCCTCCAAAATGTGTTGTGAAATATAACAAGCAAGCTTTTTTAAAAAATAACTTCAAATTCCTTAGGTTTCCCTATGAAGTCTACCATCCCGTATATGTGTACAACTGGCAGTTTATTTTTTTTCAAACCACATTCCCATTCCTCAAATCAAGTAAATTTTTTGAGTTTCCTATGGTGAAGCTTATTCACGAAGATGAACATGCTGATGATAAGCCAGAGCCAATGAGAGGCATTCGGGGTAAACATTACTAAGAAAGCAGTTAGAGTTGGTGGTGGGACAGTCCCTGTAGCACTTCCTCTACTAGGTAGCAGTTTCTAAAGCACCAACTAAACAATTTTAAGTAGACTATTTTTTAATCTGAAATTGACACTGCTCCACTGGAGCTCATTATACAATTGGAGTAGGTTTCCAGCCTAGGAAGGGGACATTGCATTTTCACTTCACTAGTGAATGCGCACAACAGCAGATGATACTTGATAAAATCAGGAGGTTTACACATACATTATTCAATGCTCAAATATTCAGAACATTTAAACAGTGGCAAACTACTTAATTTTCATCCAGTTCTGCATTTCTTATATACCGTCTGCATTCCATGAGTCATTACTAGTAGTGACAAACTGGGGGAGGGGGGTGACCTTTGGACCTTCCCACAAAGTACTCACATCCCAAATCCTGCACTGTGGTCTCTGATGGCATAAAAAAGAAATTAGCTCTTAGTTCTTTACAGCAAAGAAGAGAATGAGAAATGAAATTGCAAAGAAGCATTAAGTATGGAAGCTTCAACTTGTCAACAGTTGAAATGACACCTTCAGACTCCCTTTTGTAAAGGGCCTGGATCTAAACTGAGTGTAAAAAGAACTCTACTTAGCTATGGATAGCAGAAAAGGGAGAAAAGAAAGGAAGGGAAAAATAATTTCCATTGGATAGAAATATGAGAACAGATGGCACCCAGAACTCCTACCTGTTTGGATCTTCAGAGGGGGAACGATGGACATCGTGCAACCCCAGGGAGGTGGCTTTTGCATACATATTTAAAGAAATCACTCCAGTACAGGAAAGAAGAGCAGCAGAACTCTTCTAATTACCACTGCCTGGCCCCCCGAGTGCTGCTTTTTCTTCAAAGCCACACTAGTTCATTATTTTCCCATCAACTCTTTTAAATGATTCATTCCCCCCTTCACTCGGAGCAGACTTTGCAGGAAAGCTAGTATTTGAGTTTAATTTCTAGTGCCACTTGCTTTGGAGAGCTTGCTGAGAGAAAGGAGGGAGAATCTAATTTAATAATTCTATCATGATTTGGAGGGGAACCCTCCGCCGCCGCCGCCCCCAAAATAACTAGACAAACAGGACCCTCTGGTAAGCTATAATCCTGAGCAAAAACACCAGTTGGGAAAAGCAGGGCCCACGTGCGGTGGGAGCTGTCACCCAAGGGAAGTGGCAGCCGGCGAGGAGGAGGGAGTGTGGGAGAGATAGGGCTGCTGCTCGCAGCTGCACCGGCCTGAGCGCGCAGGAGAAGACCCGACTCCCACTTCAATGGTGCTTAGTTCTCTCCTAGACACCAGACTCGGGGAAAGCGAAGGGCAGGGAGGCCGGCTCCCCATCCCCGCGAGCTGTCACTGTGAAAGCTACAAACCCAGTGCGCGCCGCGGGCTTCCCCAGAAGCCTGAGCCGGCGCGCAAGGCGCCGGGCGCCACGCGCCACCAGGTCCCCGGCGCCCCGCGCGCGCACAGCCCGCCGCCCCCCGCCTTACCGTCCCAGCTCCGACTCCACCTCGAAGAAATCGCTGAGAGCGTCCCTGTTGGAGCCGTCGATCCAGTAATCCGGGACAAGGTTCCCGGCCCCCGGGGCCACACTGGCGGTGACCGAAGAGCAGGACGAGGCCGAGCACGAGGGCACCGTGACTTTGAGCATCTTCGCGGCGGGACTCCGGAAGCCGCGGTCGCCGCTGCTGCGGGAGCGAGAAGCCCCGCCGCTCGCGCTGCCGCCTGCGAACGCAGGAGCGAGAGGTGGTGTCCTTCACCCACACGCACACGCCCACCGCCGCCGCCTCCCCGCGCACCCCCGGCCGCCGGGGCTGCGGCTTCCCTTCCGCACTCTTGGCAGGGAGGGTGGGTGGGCGGAGAAGGGGTCCAGGAACTGGGAGAGGGTGTGGAGGGTGAACCCCTGTCGCCGCCCGAGATGAGAGAAAAGGCGGAGGCACTGCGAAGGGGAGATATTCCCTCCCCCTTCCCTCCGTACCTCCCCACCTCCCCTCCGCCCTTCGACGAGCCTTTCCAGCCCCCCTCCCTTTCTTCCTCTCTGCTTCTCCGGCAGTGGCTGCCGCGGTGCCGGCTAGGGCGGCTCCGGATGCAGGAGCTCAGGGAAGCACAGGGACCAGAGCATCATCCCACGCGCCCTCCTGCGGGAGCAGGGAGCTGGGAAAGGACCTCGCGCAGTGGGACGCTCGCTCCGGAGTGCCGGGTGGCCCTGCAGGATGTCGAGAAAGGGACCTGGCTGTTGGTGCAACTCATCCCTCCTAGAGCGCAACTGGGTGACCAGCCCCTCCCACCCACCACCAGCTAACCAGCCATCTCTTCTTCGTCCCTCTATCAAAGCTTAAATGGGTGGCCTGTGGCCGCGCTGACCTGACCTCACCTTTGAGTGAAGTCTGTTGGAATAGATTCAGTGCTGCTGCTGCTGGCACTGCCTCCTTTGGCACCGTTGAAGCTCTTTGAAAGGCGGGTACTTGCTGTTCCTCCTTCACTCCTAGGCTCCGAAGGCTAGCAACAGAAGTGACCCCGAGAATTACAGGTCTGGAAGGGCCCTGTGGAAGCCAACTGCTCCAGCCCTGCACCTCAAGGTGCGACCTCTCATCATAGGTGTCAGAGAAAATTGCTACATTTTAAGGCTCTGTCCTCTTCCCAGGAGATGTGTCCCATGACAGGCTTTCTGTCTGTCCATCAACCTTCAGGCTATTTTTCCAAGTATTGATTAGATATATATCATTCACATTTCTACCCTTGAACTTTTTCTTTTCAAATTTCAGGAGAGATAAACAGCAATTAGTCATCATACTTTACAATAAATCTTTGTATTTAAAGACAATTATTACATCACATCTCATTTCTAACTAAAATGACTCTTGGCCCTTTAGTTAATCTTACTTCACAGGTGTTACTTTTAGTCTTTTTTCCCCCTGACTTCCCTCCTACCTGCGTTAAACTCTTCTGAGTGCATCACCATTCCTAATATTTGTCTCTCACTTATTGATTTATTGCTTACACGCAGAGCTTTCATGCTATACTGGGGAACTACCAACAAAAAAATTTAACCTATTAGTGATAAAAATGTAATCCTTAATTAACTGGAAATAAAAAGAAATACAAAAACTATTCCCCATAGGCAATTTAATGATGGTGATCACATGCTCAATTTACAAATGGCCTAACGAATAGTAGACATACATAGACTCATAAAAACCCAGTTAAATACTGATTTGGGGAAATACTAAAAATGCTCATGTAACAAGTTACTTTTCAGAGAATGAATGGACTAATCTTCATGTTAGAAAACCAAGCTTGTTAGCAGAGCAAGCTAATAAAGCACTCTACAGTAAATTCCCCTCGGCCTGTGCTGACCAGGGAGGCAGGGCACACGGTGGGGCGAGGCAGTTGCTGTTCACACCTCTCTGAGGTTAGTCTTGAAGTGGCAGCACTACGTGTTGCTACTTGTCTGTTCTTAACAATTCTTTCACAACGTAAGTCCATAGCAAGCATATTACACTGAGAGGTAAGGTAAGCCTCCCCCTGCCCCCACCTGCTGTTTTAAGGAACAATAGCTAGAGAATCACCATTTCATGGTACAGGGGTGACTGTAGAGTTATTATTTACTTTCAACGCTAGGTTAGTCATTTGACACCTATGCTTTGTAAAAGTGTTGTTAACTGAAGTTTAAAAACAGAGAGTATTTGATTTCATGAATGCAACTTGTCTTTATTTTAAATTTAAAAATATAAGATGAAAAATAAACTTTATTTTAAAACAGTTGGGACAGTAATTAAGTCCACACAATTTATCTTCACTCCTTATGAAATATCATCTAAACTGACCAGAAAAGGGACAAAGGAGAAAGGGAGGGGTAATAGCAACTAACCCTTAGAATCTAGGAACAGATGGACAAATGGTAACTGACTTGGAAGAGTGGGAAAAGGCAGTAAGAAGAAATCTAATTCTTACCACAGAACTCCTTCCAGAAATGCTCAGGAATTAGAGTACCGTATCCTTCTAATGTGGAGCAGAGAATAAGGCATTGGTTGAACATTTTTATAAGAAGCCCTAAGGCCCCTACATTTCTTCTGTCATTCACAGCAAAAAACACACTTTCCAATCTCATGCAAAAGGGAGTATATTTAATTTTGGGGAATGTTGAACAAAAAATGATGTCTTAGATCACGAGGTGTACTTCAGACCATATTGAAAATAGGGGCATTCATGAAGCTCTATGTGATAAATCATGAGACTTCCAGGTTCATTAGGCCCCCAGAATGCTGAAAACTATGTTTCTATCTATCACATCCCTAGCCATACAGGAAATTGCTGAGTGAGTTAATCATGGGGAAAAACCAGCAACTCAACAGGAGGGAGATCTATGGACACACACTGTTACAACCGGCACCTCCCAACAACATACCCTGACTTTTGTCAGGGCTCAACACGTCACAGCGAAGCCCATCATCAGGTAGGCTCAGGGGCCCAGCTTCTAATGAGCTGTTTTGTGTCTCACTTAAACACAAATGGACAAGGTGACAGTCTGGTATGGCATGGTAGCTGGTATGACTAACCCCCCTGCATGTAACAATTATAATCGGTGGACTAAGTATAAATACAGTTATTTAAATGTGCATAAGAACTGCCAAAATCAGAAAACTGCAAGTGATGTAATTCATAAAAGAAAGGAACTCTTCTGAATAAAGTGCACATTTATTTATTTGACTTTTCCTTTGAGGGCTCTGCAGGCACTGTGACTCTAAGGAGCTTGAGATGTCAGAGAACAGAATTCAGGGCTAGCAGGGAGGCTAGACATAGAGGAGGAAATCCAAAACAGAGGGACTACAGTGGAGCAATCCACATATCTACACATAAACTGTGCTCAAATACTAAGATAACTTTGGAACATAACAACAAACAACTAAAAAAGAAAAAAACATGTATACTTTACTATTCAGCACTAAAAAAGCATAAGCTACTAATACACACAGAAATATGGGTGAGTCTCAAAAAACATTAAACTCAATGAAAGAAGTCAGAGCTAAAATGAGTATGTATTGTATGATCCCATTTATTTGAAACTCTAGAAAAAAATTAAGGTAAAACAACCTACCTAGAGATAAATCTGGGTACTATTTAAAAATACCAGAGTTTCTGAAAAGAGCAACAAGTGTACCTACAAACAAGAGTCAGAATTTCATCACACTTCTCATTAGTAACACTGGATTCTGGAGCAATCTCTTCCAAGTTCAAAGGAAAAACTAATTTTGAACCTATGTCTGAGCTAACTAGCCTTCCAAGTGAAGCAAAATAACAGCCATTTTCAATTATTCAAGAGCTCAGAAAATTTGTCATCCATTTATTGTCTCAAAAAAAATCACTATAGGATGAACTGTAATTAAATCAAATGTGTGCAAGGAAGTGAGTGACAGAATACAAGGAAGAGTGCAAAATGAAGGAAAAACTGAAGTTTGAAAGAGTATTAGTACCCAGTATGATTTATGTGAATCTGTATAATATATCAGCCTAGATGTGTGAGAGACACTAGAAGAGAAAGGTCAGGGGCAGAAAACATAAAAGTACACCACAATCCCATTCCTTCCAGGCAAAGAAGAGGTATTCTGATTAAATATGGACACTTACAGAAAGTTATACAGTTAACATACTTTCAAAATGTAAGGATAAAAATGATAAGAGCAGGAAGTGTTTATAGCTTTCAAACAACAAGGTGGGAAGAGAAAACAGGACAAAGAAAGTTTGATAGACAAAAGGCAGAGGGGTATAAAAGAAAACAACATTATAAAATACTTAAAATGGCTATGGAGTGGATGCTGTGGTGCAGGGTCGAGAACACCTCACTCAAAGTTAGCCCCCTCCCTGGGAGCTGTTTGCACCCAATTGCTCATCTCAGACTCCTTGCCTCAGTTCTGAACAAACCCGGAAGGCCCAGTCCATCTTCAGAGCTCTCTGTTGGATGCCTGAGACCACGGGGACACCCGTATCACAGTTTAACCTTGCCTTCTTCCCAGTCCTTCCCTTACTCCCTGTTGTTCCTGATTGTTCCTCAATAAATTTTGTGTGTGCGTATGTCTATCTTCTCTATCTCAATGAATATTTCTAAGGGGACCCAATTTCAGATAGTCAGTGCTAAGTGGTCCAAGGAAGCAGATTGTAAGGATGGAATTTTGGAGCTAAATCACTCACCAGCTGCCTAACAATGAAGATCCCATTATTGTTTGTGAATGAAGTATGGTAGCTCACGGCATACGTGGCAACATATTCTGATTACATATTGTTGCCTAACAAATAATTGCAAAGCACTATGGCTTAAAATAACTATTTCATTATTGCTCATGTTTCTGTGGGCTCATTTGGGCAGTTCTCCAGCTTCAATGAAGCTGAGGTTAACAGTCATCTAGGAGCTTAAGTGGGCTTATTCACATGGTTGGAAGCTGATACTGGCTTCAACTGTGAGATCACCCGGACTGGCAACCACATGCCTACATGTGGGCTTTTCACAGCATGGCAGCTGGGATCCAAAAGACAAGGATAAGAGTTCCAAAGGAAAGAATATAAAAAATGCATCAATTAAGGGCTAGGCAAAGAGCAGCATCACTTATACCAGAATATTACATTTATCAGAGTTATCAGAAGCATAGGCAATATTCAAGAGGAGAGGAAAGGGTGTGTGTGGCATACACAAGTAGGATGCAGTGAACTTGGGGCCATCTTAGGAGTCTAGCTACTGAACTCCTAAGGTACTTAACAACTCCTATAATTGTTAAGGTTTCATTGGAGGTGAACCAAGATGGGAGGGAAAAGCACTGGTGGGTACAATGTCTCAAATCTTTGAAAGTTTGCGGAAAAGTCATAATTATAAGGGTAATGGAATGAGATAGATTTTGTTGAGTGCAACCAGGCATCAGAGAAAGAACATAAAAAGCCAAGGATAGTTAATCACCAATTTAAGGCAAAGTGAGAAAGCTAGTTGGCCTCCTTGGCAGCTTTTGAAGAGAACTGCACCTCCTGCAGTAGAACAGCAAAAAGAGTTGTGAATCAGGTACAGGATTTAGTTATAATGACAGCTAGTTGCAGAAAAACCTGGATTATCAGTTCTGGAATGTCTGCTATACCAAGGTCCTTGATCCAAAGGAGAGGGACTCTGAGTCTTGGGATGAAACCATCTTGATGCCCTGGAGAAACTGGAACCTCCAGATTTCCCTGAACCATCTGAGCCTGTAGAAGTGACCCACCTCTCCCTATTCGAGGCTGTTTTGTCTCCTTTGTTTGCAGATGATACAAAGGCCTCTGTCTTGTAAGACAGTATGCATCCCTCTCAGCATGTGTTCCCCCACCATCATCACTCCTGGTCTCCAGGCCAATAATTAGGGTCCAGTCACAACATAATGTAACACAGCAGAGAAGTGCTGCACCTGCTATGTGAGAAAA